AATAGACTAAAACACACCTGACTCATGCTTAAAATCTGAGTTTGATGCATATATGATTAAAAGAACCTCATTTCATTTTTTTTGTGCTTTTCTACGTTATCAGTACTTTGTTGGGTCGAAAAAGTTTTGGCCTATCAATAAAAACCTTGTCCATTTTGCCCATCGTTTTTTTCGACACAAGACAAGTTTGCCCATCGATCTAAAAATCCTGGTTACGCCGCTGTTTCTCAAGTTTCTTTTCGTCAGAGAAAAAAACATGGGAAGAAGTTAGAAGCATAGTGAAATTACGAAGTTAAAAAAAGATATCATTGCTTACATCGAATAAGAAGGAAAACAACTTTTCCCCACACGTATTAGTTTTCCACATATATATGTACAATATGTTAGCAGCATTCTTTTGACTAAAAGAAACATTATGTTCGGATTTTTACCCATTGCTTCGTTCATATTGTCACTATCTGTTGCTTTGCTAATATGGTACGCCGCACTTGTATTCTTTAGCATCTAAGCTTAGTAAATCCTTTATGATATTAAGAAAGCCTTTTATCAACACCAGTCATCTTTTTGGCGGTTTTTTTCTTATCCAGGTAAGAATTTTTATGATTTCGTCAGCGAATACACCGGAGAACAACAAACAGGTTTCCTCGAATTCAAAGAAGTTTGTAGTACGAATATTTATTTGAGTTTTAGTTATGTTCTTGGTATTCTTGAATCACACTCAGCTGCTTTACTCCTTTTCAAAAAGTCTCAGTACATGAAGCTTGATAATAAAACTTATACTATTCACTTTAACCTAAAACGAGCTCATTTGACTATTTGACTCAGCTTTTAATCCGTGCCGTTGGGCCTTCTGGAATTTACATATTGTTTTGGTATGTGTCAGACTTCTGAATTTTTCAGATTTCAAATGCTTTCTATTATACCAACATTTCACTTGATTTCTGATATTCATAAAAAACTTATCAATGATCCAAACGAATATTAGTTTTTTTCCTCTGGCAGTCAACACAAAACGTCAATTATTCTTCCTTTATTGTTCTCTAATTCAAAGACAGTAAAATCGATCACCAACGTTATATCAATTGCATATTCATCTTTTCTTGACAGTTCAAGAATATTTAATCAACGCAATAGACAAATACTTCGGAATCGATGGGTAGCAGTATCAGAGGCCTGAGAAATGGGCATTCCTAAGGGTACGGGTGGGGTTGTGTGCCCCTTCTAAATTTTCTGCAATCATCACAACCAATAACCGCGTGTAACAAGTCTTCATACAATATCTCCGTTCGAGTTTTGTTCATTCATAAGTCGCAAGAAAGAGTCAAAAGGAGTCATCTAGAATGAGAATTTTATGCTCTTTTGAAATATATATTCAGACTTTTTTCGACATTGTGAGCCAATTTCGGACTACAATAATAAACGATGTCCGTACAAAAACTATTAGTTTCAAAGGTTTTTTGTAACTATGTTCACTCATTTTTCAGGCATTTGAATGTAATTAAAGAAAGTCAAAATTATTAGGTTAGAACCAGAATTTGATGCTCTTTCTGAGTATATCTTTAGAATTTTATCCTGAATGCAACTGATTAGTTGTAACAAAATACCTAAATAAAGAAAAAAATAGCATTCTTATCACATAAAATAGACTTTCTCTATCATGAGTAATTTATCGAAAGAATATTTTGGGATCGTTTTTATTTTCTATTCTTGTAGAGAATTTAATGTTCTAGAGAATCACGAGTTGCAATAAGTCAGAACTCAACAAGTCAAAGACTATAAACAGTTTTCCGAATGCCACTCTTTAGATGATATGACATATTTCGAAATAATCTTTTTTTGAAGAAGTTCGGTATTTAACATGCAACAATATACAAGAAGTGAGGCAAAGCGGGTATTTTGTAGAGAAAGCTTCGATCTACGAAGCAGTGTACAACATGACTTTCATATAATTTGCATTGAGGTAGTTTTATTCACAATAGAAAAATAGACTACATGAAGAATTCTGTGCAAACATCATTTTCCGTCCCAATCAAAGATTTAGTCACAATAAAACAGCTTTAAGTCAAGCAATAAAATTCTGAATATATATTTAGAAAGAGCATGAAATTCTCATTCTCGCTGACTGCTTTTAACTCTTTCCTGCAACTCATTATTTAAAGAAAATCATCCCGAGATGTTTTATCAGGACTTTTTACACGCGGTATCGGCAACACTGCGATAATGTCGAATTCACTTTCAACGACTTTAGTTTCCGCATCTTCAAAAACCAATATTGGTAGTCCCGATATTTAAAAACTATGTGCGAACATAGGAATCGTATTATATCATGTATTAACCAATAAATCGTCAAGCATAAGAAAGACATTTGGTGGTAACAATGTCAGTCTTGCTAGGAGATAGACTAGGATATTAATATCACCGTCAATATCGGCATAGCCATTGTTTGACATCTCTGTGGAGTTAAATGAATCTCAAAGTCAGTTCATACAAATTATCAGGTAGATACGCTGATTCAAATCTTAACAAGTTTCCTTTAGAGGAGTACTGCAGTTCTGAACAATTTTATATTCAAATTTGAATCAGCTGAAAACTTCATATTTTGTGGACATTTTTCAATGCATATCTATTTACAAGTTAGCAACTATTCATGTTATAGAGTATATCAAAGCCAAGACGTTGGTAGAAAAAATATCTTAAGATATCTATCTGAAAAAAAATCAATTGCTTTCTTCCTTGCGACTGAACATTTAAGTAGACTTTATATTAAAGCTGAACAATAATAATACTTTGAAATACGCATAGGGAACTGCAAAATAATCCTGTTGGGGTCATAAACGGAGCTGAAAATAATGCCGATCGGAACCAAGACTGCGACTGGTACCAAGACTGAGTCTTTTCTTATGAATACTGGCAAATATTTCTCCATAAAGAATCTGCCGTATACTCAGAAATTCATTCTTACATTTTAGCTAGTAATCGAACCATTTTTATTTGATAAATATTAGAATACAATGAGAATATCTTGAAACAAAGCCAATAAACTTCACGAAAGTAAGAAAAAAATACATAGAGGAAAAAATTGATTCGTAAATAGTCCAGTTTTTACCGAAAAAAATTGGGACAGGAACTGAAAAAAGTCTTCGTCAAGATCAGAGATAGGACATGGACCAAACGAAAATTTTAACTGGAACTCAAATTGTGATCGGAACCAAAATAATGTGGTCGCTCATTTCCCTAAAAGCAATTCTTTAATGAATTAATTTTACAAAACATATTTTCAACCGAATTTTGTTTTTTACATTTTTATCTGATATCTGTTTTCGATTAGTCCACTTCAAGAGTATCCAGTTTATATATCTTTTCTTTTCGTATGACGAAAACGAGTCCTGACTTATCTTTGTCGATTGAACTGTCATAATGTCCACGCATAGAATACACAAATTAAACATAGTGTGAATTGCACCTTCCTAGAGGGTGTGGGTGAATGTGGGTGTTGGAGTCTAGTTGAAGAGTATAGCAACACCTACACCCGCACCACATCCTAAAACCCACGCTCACACCCTACATTCGCACCCCACAGCCACACCCAAAACAAAATAACTTCTGTACATAAACAATCTGTTCTATTTTTTTAATCGTACATTTTTTCACAGATATAAGATACTTCTTATCAACCATGAGGTCAGACGACGTTCTTGAGTCATTTTGACTTGATTAATAAAGTTTTTTTTTAGCTCAAAAACAGCCTTTGGTAAACTTTTCATGTTCATTTTATAAAGTGAAATAATTATCTATTCAATAATATTTTGTTTTTTACTTGCAAATAATTGAACAATAGGATTACTATTTGCTCAAACTTTTATTAAGCGTACCTCGAATATGAACAATTGCAGGTTCATGAAAGATGTCTTACCATTTCCAGAAGGTAATCAAACTTCAAAAATTAACATTGATATGATGGCCTTACTTGGATCGAAGTGACAAAAAAAATTCGCACTCTCTCCAGGTTCACTGCCGTTCAAAAAGAATTTTGAATAAAAAACAAAAACTAGCATTCACATGCATTTGATATCCAAAAAAAATCGTATTTTCCTTGGATTCTACACACTGCTCCTTCACAATTTTTAACTGAATTCATGCATGTAAAACTCGACAAGTCGTTTTAACTATTTAGCTTTTAAATTCAAGCGAATCGCAAGACTATGCTTCAAAATTCATCGCTACTAACGGTGAGAATAGCTGACTACGTTAGAAAGAACCAAACTATCATGCATAAAACGTTCAGTTTTCAATTTAATTTGCTACAGTTTGTATGACTTGTTAAATATGCTGATCAAAATCATAGAAACAGATTATCATGCTGATAACTGTTGAGTACTTACAGCTGCTACTAGTTTGATAGCAATCTCGGTTACCTTTTGGTATGCTTCAAGAAAAAAAGCATATATCAATAAAAATCTTCTTTAAACAACAACAACAAAGAAATATTTCTTCAATTGCTAATGCAATAACTTGTACAACTGATTGATCAGTTGAACATATTGTCAATTACATTGTAATAGCTGTTGTTCCAGGATCTGATGATGTCGCATCTAAGGCCATCTTTGCTCTAACAAGTATATCATGTTCACCTCAATAAACACCTGCTAAATAAAATACATATGAAGCTTTGCCTTTTTGGAACTTTGCTTGATCGTTCACAAGCTTGCATTCCCATATAACTTATTATTTTCCTTATACATGCTATACAAAAAAAAAATAAAAATAATATTAGAAAAAAAATAAAAACAAACCTTTAAGTGTTGGTATTGATGATCCATATCTGTCTTCAAGTTCATTTTCATTACTTATTTCTTTCCATGAAACAGACCAATTTGGTTTAAGTACTTTTTGTACATGAAAACTAACCTGTTACTTCAGCATCTTCAAGCTAAAACAAAATAATAACTTCTATCAGAAAGAATGATTAATAAAAAAAATCTAACTACAAATTCATCAGCCTAACCTTCTTCATTATCTGGTTCACCTGTCGCTGGATCACAATCTTTAACTGTATATTTCATTGCACATGATAATGTACCAGTAACAGCTGATGAATCATCAGGTAATTTAACTAATGTGTATGTTGTATCCATATCATTACATTTTTTTAATGAATATGGAGTATAATGAACAACTTCAACACCTTCAGTTGATCCATCCATTTGTACAGTTACTTTTTCTAATAATTGATCGTTTAATGTATTATTTATATGAAACTTGATGAAGAATAAATAATGATGGAAAAAAACCAAGATGAATAGAATATGTATTTACTTGAAAAATAACATGATGCTTAAATTCATGTTTAATACATCGAACAACATATTCAACTGTATTTTCAGTTAAATCAATTGATAATGATAATTTAAATATTGAACTCAAATGAGCAAATTCAGGTATAACAGATCATTTTTCTATTAATTAAAATAAAAAAAAGTTTTTATTCGAATTAAGATAAATATTTATATTAAACTAACCATTATGAGTATTTTCTCGGTGTGATACTAAATCACTTTCTCTTCGTGAAGGACTACCACCAACATTAATATCCGCTAGAAAAATCAAAACCATAGTTGCAATAGTATATTTAATTAAACAAAAACAAACATTTAACAGGTACTGAATTGTTCGTTGTAAAAGTACTAAAATATTTGGTAATACATCATCTGAAGATGCACTAAATTTTGCTAATGTACTTATTGCCGTTAAAATAATAAATAACTTATTAATAAATAAATAAAATAAATTTTACCAGCTCTAACAGGTAGATTTTCAAGAATAATGCGATGATAAATATAACGAATATATTTTGCTGGTGTTGTTATACGTGGTCCTTCTCGATCTGATGAATAAAGTTTACGAGTTGATAATGTTGTACGTTCACAATCTTCAATAAATTCACATAAATGAGTGAAACCTATTAAATCAAAATAGTGCAAAAATGAAATAAAGTTTTATTATTAAATAAAATACTTGCTTCTTTAGCTTCAGAATTTTCTTCAATAATTGAAATAATTGTATTAACAATTGCTCTTTTACATATATAACCACCTTCACGTAACATATTTGATAAAAATGTTATTAAAACTGAATGTTTACTTGGAAATTTTTCATATAATGATCTTAAATTATTTATTAAAAAAAAAAGAAAATTTTCAAATAAACTTACTTAATTGTATCAACAACAACTATTTTAAATAGATCAGATATTTCAGATAAAACTGATGAAACTTGTTTCATCAATCGATCAACATCTGCTTCATTATCTATCTACAAATCAATATAAGTCATCAATTAAACAAATGAGTTAAATAAAATACTTTAAGAGTTGTTATTGCTAATGTTGCAATTGTTCGATTTGAATCGCCAATTAACGTTTCAAGATCAACATTACAAGCTGTTACTGCTGTTGAATGTTGAATAGCAATCTTGAAATAAAAAAGCATACATTTATTATCTGTTGAAATAAAACAAACTTTATTAAGTGTTCGAACAGTAGCATAATGTAAAATAGATGTACATGGTGAAATAAATGATTGAAGAAGATTGACAGCTGAAATTAATGCTTTTGATGTAACATATTTAAGTGATACAATTGTTTGGTGACAATATTTCTGATCACCAAAAAAAGATACATTTGATCACCAAAAAATTTAGATACTTTTGATCACCAAAAAACGATACTTTTGATCACCATTTTTTAGTTTCTTCATTTCAAAATATTTATTTCTGAAATAATGCAACATTCACAATAAGAAAAGTCTGTATACTATTAACAATGTATTAAAAAAT